CGTAGATCGCCCCATCCTGAATCCATACTGGCGAGGGGACAGGCCCCCACAGGGACCACGGCTGAATTCAGTAGGGAACGGATCAACTTCTCGAGGACTTTGCCAGCCGTATCCAACATACACACAGAGGTCTGTAAGAGGATGTCAGGTCTGGGTCTCCCTCCCCTTTCCCAACAAGCACAAGCCTACCTGGTTTCCAGCACAAGGGGAAAACTCCTTCGACTAGGCAGGCATTGAACATGTGCAAAAGGATCAAGGGGTTAGTAGTCAAAACCTTCTTGAGGACTTCGCCGGGTACCCCATCGGGTCCAGGAGCCTTATTGCTCTTCAGGGATAGGACAGCCGCCTCCATCTCTCCAAGACTGAAAAGTGGTACCTCGTCCAACCTTCAAGCAAGTGGTCGCGACGTTTGAGCAGGGAAAATGGACTCGACTATCCTCTCCATAGTGGCCCCATCCATGACGGAAGGTGGAGAGTGGTTGTCAAGTTTCTTGGTTACAAGTTTGTAACCCAGGCCCCACGGATTGGAATCGACATCGTCCCTTAGTTTAGTTATGGTTATGTAGCCAGTTACTATAGTTCGGCACCTTAGAAAACGACCTGGCGCTAATGCTAAACCAATGCTGGAGGAGGTCTCTTTCTAAGCGGCCGAACTATAATAGTAAATTAATAAAAGTCTATCTACATACAGCAGATCTAGGGAACACAATAATTGTTCTATTTAGCATTCTAAAGCTGCTTATTCCAAAGTAAAGTACCCATGATCTTTTGAGAAAACTACAAGTGACACCCCTAAACCATGTACATAAAATGTTCGTCATGACGAGAAACCTTGCGCAAAACTATCCATTATTTCATAAATTGCCCTTTAAGGTCGTAATTCCTTTCTAAAGGGAACTTTCCATATACCTAATGTTAAAAATATACATCAATTGTATTTATTTGTTTGTTATTAATTTAATTTATTAGGTACCTTATTAAAATCAGGTGTGATTATTTGTTTGTATTACTGTAGTTTTATTAATACTTATAAAGTCAAACGGGGTGAAGCCGGTGGGTAACAGCTAGTTGACTTATAAATTCAATGCTACTACCATTGACTAAGGAAACACAATTCTCTTTAGTCTATGCTACTACATACTACTTCTTCACTCCTCCTCATCCTCAAATAATGAAATGAAATATTACAGCTGATTTTTACAGGCAACAACAAAACTACTATCTAGTGTTAGTGTTAATGCTATTGCGAGTTTCTTTTTTCTCTGTTACAGGTAAATATTTTATATCAGTCTATATTAAGAATTGTAACACGTAACTAATTACAGAAACAAACGTGTGTTAAGCTATTATTAGTGCACTCTTCATTATTTAAGTAGTCTTTCTCTGAAAGAAAATCATACAGTAGTTTCTTCCCTTGCACCCTACTAAGTCGTCCAGTGATGGATTATCAATTTAATTTGAAACTTATTGCGAGATTCCTCCAAATTGTATGCATTTGTAGGCTTCTTAACTTATTTTTATTGTCTGTTTTTGTAAATTGGGCCCAAATCCCAAAGCTATGTAGGTAATGTATGACTAGGCCAACAAAGCTAGGCTGGGCTTTACCAATTTTGTAAATGTAGGCATGACCGTGGTTAATAGTAAATTACCCATGACAAATAAAGCTACCGAAATGAAACATGCAATAAAACCTAAGGCTGATGCCATCATAGAATTTCATCTCATTTTAAATAATTATGAACATTGATGTTTTAAAAGTTGGTTCGGGTACACTTCCATATCTGTCGTCACAAACAATCCTCTCAATTGGAGTTGGATTCGCGGGGGCAGTGGTTGGACACAATGTGCGCTAGACAAAGAAGATAAGATCAAGAAAAGTAGTAGATAGGGCGCAGTTGTTTGCCAAGGAAGGAGAGGAGATTTTGAAGAAGAGAGATGAAAGGGAGATATTGGCGAAATGGCTGAAGGCTGATGCCAATGTGAGTTGTAGAAACGGGGTCTTACCCTATCGACTGTCGTCACAAACACCCGATGAAAATATCGATCAATATATCGATTATTCGATATATAATTTTGTTAGTTAGGTAAGGTTAACCTAACCTAACTAACCAATCGATATATCGAATTAAACAATTGAATAATCAATATAATTAATAATATTGATCAATCAATATTAGCCTACTCACACCCTCTCGCGCTTTTTCGGCAACTTACGTTTTTACCTAGGAAATCAGGTTTGAAAAACCATAAAAACTGCAAAGAGCCAAAAATGCCTGGCCCACTCCTATATGAAACTAAATATAAATTAACCTAACCTAACCCGACCTAACCCATGCTTAGGTTAGCGATTCAGTAGACTCTCTCTTATCCGAACTCCTCGGGACTGAGGCCAGTCCGGGTAACAGTTTTCCGGTTAAATCGACGGACGACGGACCATTTAAATGCATACTGCATACAACTTAAATTTAGGAGAGCATTGTATCCTACTGTATGACGAAAATGATGGATTTTTCTTATATAGAGGCACTTCTGTGTCAAATGATCGGTTACTCTGGCAAGGGTGGCATCTACGGACATGCAACTCAACATCCTTATTCAAATTAGGCCACCAAACATAATACCTTGATAGGGACCTCATAGCCTCTATTCCAGGATGTCCTTTGTGGAGTTCTTTCAATACATTTTCTCTCAAAATCTGTGGACCACAATTCTTCCTAATCACATGACTATCCCGTTTTCTAATGTCAGCTCTTCTCTCTTATACCAATATGGTTTCATAGATGATGGTAAGGTTTCTGTATCTTTTGGCCAACCATGTTCCAGGAAGTCTCTAAGTTTCTTCATATTTGGGTCTTTCTCGTACTCCATTAAAAGTTCATGATTTGGATAAACTTCGTCAATTTTCTCCTGAACCAATGCTCGAATCTCTCTCTCATCTGGATCTAATACTTCTTGTGTCTTGAGTGAAAACCGAGACAAAAAATCAGCCAAACAATTACCCTGTCCCTTGATGTACTGGATCTCAAAATCATACTACATTAAATACAAAGCCCAACGAACCAAACGGTTGTTTACTACTTTGGTAAGATCTCGATGCATTCAAAATATTCTTTCAAGTGACTTGTGGTCCGTCCTCACCTTGAAATGTCTCCCACTGAGGTATTGTCTAAACTTCTTCACAGCAAAAACTAACGCCAGTGCTCCCTTGTCAACTGTAGCATACCTTTTTTCTGCTTCCGTTAGTGTCCTCGAGGCGTACATGACTGGCCTTTCCGTTCCATCCGGCATCGAATGTAACCGCACTGCACCAACCCCTTGTTGTTCGGTTTTTGACGTGTGAACGGGGCTTAGGCAGCAGACGATTAGAGACGAAGAAAAGAACTGAAGAACTGTCTACTACCATGTCTGCTGAGTGTTTGTGATTGAGAGTGATAACGTAATTTTCAAGTGAAAATGGTGTCTTTAATTAAAAACCAAATATTGAAACATCTATCAAGGTACCTAATCAAAGATATTAAGTTTTCATTTGAATCGCCTAAAATCCTTTCTAGAAAAAATGTTTGGATCCATATTACTGTTAATTCATTGGTCGTCATAGTTGAATAATCGTCTGCTAATCCTAGTAATGGTTTTAACTTTGGCCTAAATTAAAACAGAAAATTTATTTTTTTTAATTTAATTAGAGCGACTATTTAGATTAAAAAGTAACAACCACTCAAAATTAGCTTATAAGTTGGGTTATACAACTTGATAGTCCCAGTTCATTCGCTTTTCCCTTTACATTAGGCTAAATTTAAAGCTGGATTTAGTAAAGGCCTAGCTCAACTAAATTTTATTAGATCTTTTAGTATTTTAGCCTTGTTACTGACTAAGCTAAGATCTTCTGATACATTTTCCAAAAGCCCATTGACCAGGGACAGATTGAACGATCAAGTTAAAAAGAATATAGGCCTAACTTAGCTTGTCTCAGGACCTTGAGGTTAAATTTTCAACCCTATTAAATGTTACATAATGTTTTGTAAAATCCACACTTGTAAATCCACAGATAAGTAAATCTCCCTGTTTGGTGTGGCAAAATATACCATTTTGTTTACTTTTACTTTACCATTTACCACCGAAGTCTTCACCGCAGTCCTTGAAGACCGGAATCGTCAAATCTTTTCCATCTTTCTTCTTGCTTGCTTCTTGATTGTGTGTAGTGTTGTAGTGTGGGTGAATGTATAATTTGTGTTGTGAGTGTTATATTTGCTGTCGGCTACCCTTGATTTTGGTAACCTGCGCTTGTTTTTCCCAATCAAATGCCTTAAAAAACAGGTTTATTAACTAAACTTAAGTTTAAGCTATACGATTCAACTAAAACTGACAACAAATATAGCCTAATTTTAACACCCAACCATAATTGCTGACACAATTATTTAACCTTCCCATCTTGCTTACCAGGATTCAGGATTCAGGCAATATTTAAACAGTGTCATAGGTTAGCCAAGAGAAGGATATCTTGGATTGTTGATCAGTTCACTAAAAATTCATGTCATACCTCAACCATTAATTTTATGAGTACAGTAAGAGTTTTCTTAATCCCTTATAACTCAGCCTGTAAGACCTTGATTGCTAACTTGACTGAAATTAAGGTCTAAACAATGTAAGTATCAATCCCAAACCTGAATAAACCTGACATAGGGTAATTCATTAGAAGAATTACCCTATGTTGATTTTCAAACCTGAGTTTATCTGAGGTTTAACATAAGTTATATCTTCCCTAGTATAGATTTCAAAGTCAAAACTTTGAAAATGTTCTCTTCTTTCAAAAGCAAATATTGTAGCCTAACCTATATGTTGACAATCTAAGGCCTAACCAAAGGAGTAAATTAAGCCTTAACAACTATTAAAATAAATCTTAGTGATAAACATATTTTCTAAAGACCTTTATCTCTTTCAGGTATACTAAAAACCTATCTGCAGACGAAATAAACTTGAGTACTTTCAAAGGAGAGGGGGAACTCACATCTCTAGAGCTAGATGAAATAGGGTTAACCGATTTGTTAGAGCTTCCCTCTTGGTTACGATTGACAAGTGCTTGGTGTTATAAGGTTACATTTAGGATACAATGGACAACACTGAAGAGTGTTCCGATACACTTGGTGAGTAAAATATTAAATACTCTACAAGTCATAGAATTTTATCATTTAATACTTTAACAGTAGTTTACACGACGATCGCATAAAGATAGTCTTATGATATGTAGATAATTTAAGGTACGAGACTTGGCGAGTGTCTTAAGCTTCTACTAGTGTCTTAAAGGCTAATTACGTGAGTTACGTACACTACTTATTTACCTACCACCATTTTTTTTTAAATTACTAACAATCACTACGCATACGTCTAAGAGAGGTTATGTTTTCATGTATAACCTCTCATTGCCACCTATTGTGATTCAACAAAACACTCACTCATTGTATAATCAATTAAATTGGCGGTAACTTACTTTCCTGTTAGAGGGAACATTCGTTATTATCGATGATTTCTCTTGGATTTCAGTAATTGGATTTAACAGGGTACGAGCTGGTGGCCCGTCCTACGTACGGAAATCGAGTTGTCAACTAAAACGGAATAGTTCAGAACATCTAGTTTACACGCATAGACACAAATTCTGGAAGTTTTAATGGGGAAGATCACCTTATAAACAAATGTAACGTGACCACGTATTTATTCCATTCGAATATGGACCTAAAATATGGCGATATGCATTTTAAATCCGATAATTTTACCATAAAACAGCATTTGTGTCGATTTGAAAAATCTTGAAGTGAGATTGGTGACCGATTCACACTGGTTTTGAGTAGAGTAGTTACATGCCACCTCCAATTGCATATTGTACTACTTATGTACTTACCGTACCTTATCTTATCTCCGTGACCACTGAAACCTTATGAGGATTTTCTCTATCACCTGCCCCTTCAAAATTTAGATCCCAGTCTGAGGATGCATTTCATAACTTGATATTTCCCGTCCATCGTTTAGTACTCCTTGGAATATACTTTTTAAAAGTTTATGCAGAGCCTGTCCATCCAAGCTTTACCTACTTCTGGAAAGCATCCCTATACTGTATTTGGGTGTTAACACATTTCTCTTAGCTCTCTGTTCTTTTTTATTTCGACCTCCGGGCCGTTATCTTGAACTGGTCTGTATATTTTCTCTGCACTTTATTATATAACCCATCATTAAGGTTTTTCGATTCTTGTGTCAGTGTCAGTGCCCAAATTTCTGAATCATCAGTACTACGGGGATAGTTGGTATGGTATGAGTCGACTTTGGTTTCTGCTGCACCCTGCAGTTTATTTAACAGTTTTATAGAGACCTACTACACCAATTGACGCTTTCATTACTAATAAAAATTTTAGTAAGCCGACATACTCACATTTAAACATACAGAAAAAGAAGTATCAACACGTAAACCACTTATATGTTAAACAATTAAATGATAAACTGCTGAAAAAATATTTCCCAAATATGAGTTGAAATTTGCAATGTATAAACTAAATACTTACACAGATTGCATTTACGATAAAACTTGATTAAATGCAAGTGTTTGAGATGTTTAGTTCAAAATAACACATTTCCTGATAACGCAGATCCTTCACGGTAAGGAAAAACTACATACATTTTAAAGTGAAATAGTATGTAAGCAAACTCAAACACCAATGAACAATATTTTTGTAAACAAACAAACATTTCAATGACAGTTATAAACCAGCTGTTAGTTAAACCAGCAACTTAATTTCTAAAAAACTGAAACCCTAAACTAAAATTATGGCTTCGACATTCCCTAGTTTTCAATATTATCTTTCTTTCAACACAAAAATCATGAAAATCCGTCAAGTGGTTGATTCAGAATCGTGAAATAAAAAAACCGTTTCGTTTTAATATTATAGATAAGATGAAGTTTGAAGTATTACAATTTTACCTCTTTTTCTCTCAATCCTTGAACCTCATTGGTCTAAACTTGTTGTAAAGTAACAAAACAATGATGTTAAGTAAGTAAACAATAGGCTAATATTAATTAGGCCTAATCTTTTTATTTCTAAGAAATGAATTGAAAATGTTACTTGAAAAAACGGCCGTAGGTACTTTACCCTGTAACTAGTTTTATACTTTATAAAACTTAACTCTACTTACTTATTGAATAAAGGTGTAACTGTGTTGTAGCTTTTAAATGTAGGCCTAATTGCAAGTTTTTTTTTTTAAACCACCTTAATATCAGGAGTGCTCAAAAATAATTTTTAATCAGTGGCTTCTGAAATTTTTTCCTGTGAACTCCTTTAAGTTGATTTTCTACAATGAGCCTGGAACTTTAGAACGAAGTAAAAGGTTTCTGTATGTGACAAAATCGGACATGAGATCACCTAAGTAGTTTGTAGTATTAATGACCATGACCTTTTAAACTTCTGCCCTTAGTTAAATATAAGAGAGGAAAAATCTAGGGTTTCGGTACAAAAGAGGTTTAATTTACGAGAGAAAAATTTAGTACGTTTTTGTAAAGAAGACTCTCTCTGATTCGCACTCCACGTTACTGAGGCCAGTCCGATAACAAAAATGTAAAGTGTACAGGATTAAGAAATGAAAGAACCGGATAACGGTTTTCCCGGTTAAACAGATTTTTCCGGAAAAATTTGCTATGTAATCCAAATATTTGACTTAAATTTTGGAAAGCATTGTCTTTAGACACATGATCACTGGTCGCAAATCTTTCCCACAAGAGCAGTCGCTTAAGTACCGCCCACTTCCTGCCGATCTAGTCCGGTTAAACCGACGTGCTGATAAAAGTTGTCTGGTTAAAGAGATGTAATTTCCGCCAAGTGTAGTCCGGTTAAACCAATGTCCGGATAAGAGGGAGTCTACTGTATTCGAGGTGATTCGCGGTGAATGACAGTAATAATGGAGTCGATTTACATATGGTCACGAGCATTACAGATAGACTGTTAGGAACAAAGACATTTAAAATAATACAAAAAACAAAGACAACTTGATTGATCAACCCTACATTCTTACAAAAAATCGTTTTGTTGAAATAAAAACAGAAAGTAGCAAACATAATTTTAACCTAAACCTATGGAACAGTGATAGAAGTTGTATGTTGCAATACCTATGCCTGACTGTCAATAAAAGAAAATTGTTTAAATTTTTTTTTCCTTTGAACTTTAATTGTTATTTGATTGTTGTTTTAGCCACTGGACGAGGTTCACATCAATATTGTGAGGAGTTACGCTCAATGTCGGCTCATCAACCACTCTCTTCTCTCGGAGCCGCTACGAACTTCATCAACAAAGTGGCCGACGGAATAACAATCTGCGTTAACATGGTCAAAGCCAAGTTTAAAAGTCCGGCACTTACAAGTCCGGCACTTACAAGTCCGGCACTTACAAATCCGGCTTTTACAAGTCCGGCACTTACAAGTCCGGCACTTACAAGTCCGGCACTTACAAGTCCGGCACTTACTGCATCTGTTCAGGTGAGAAAAAACAAAGATTTGTTTCTTGTACAATTGTAAGAAACATTTATCATTTATTAACTTGTAACATTAGGATGAAATATATCTCGGAAACTAAATATCCCTTTAGATGCCTAAATTTGTCGTTTTGTGAATTTGTAATGAAATGTCGAGTTCCAGTTTCAAATTGAGTCATACAAAATAGTGATTGTTTGTTTTATTGAGCGGAGCGAGCGAAGCTCTTATACGTCGACTCTAATGCATTTCGTAATACGCAAACTCCTCCTAGACGGCTGAATCAATCGTTTTCAAATTTAGCATGGTGATAAAGACCATATCGGTGAGTGCCAACATCTATATGGCGTTAAAACCTCTCAGGAATCCGCCCCACTGGGTCCCAAAGTTTCAATGTAATCCTTATCGAAGCAGTATTTGACACATAAACGAAGACAATCAGCTGATGATTTTTGAATGCAGTAGATAAAGAAATAGCTGATAGCATTATTCCACAGATATTGAAACAGAAACGGTATGGATCATAAATAAATATAATAAATATAAGGATTATTAAGTGAGGTTAACTTGATACAGTCTGACTGGTTGTGATCCTAAATAATTGATATTTTTCTAAATTTTAAACAACTTTTATGTAAACAATTTTGTTGTATAATCAAGTTCTACCAATGTATTGCAAATTGAATGGATAGACTGCAGTTTTTAGTGAAAAAGTTTCTTTTAGAAGCATAAAACAGCACCACATAACCTACAGTGAATTTTAGGTAAATAATCTACATGTATGAAATAAGAGCTATAAACTAAAAGTACACTTTACCTTCTCCAGTGAATATTAACTGAACCACTGTAACTGATAATCACTGAACATCAATGTAATAATATAAGATATGCAGATAAATCAACATAAACTGCAAGGTCATTGTGCCTAGGCCAACAATGATGCAGGACTAAAAGGTCTTCTCTCTTATCGGTTGGCATTGTTAGTTGGCAAGCAATATTCCTGAGCCTATGTAAACCTACCTGCAATATAATATTAAACAGTTTATCTTAAGGAAAGGAACAATTTAACAATGGGTGAAATAAAAATATAACCTATTTTATGTGCTCAGCTATTTTTAAGTGCATGCTGTAATCTTTGATGTTATAATATTTTATTTTTGTGCAAAATATTCCTTGGCTATTTTTTACTACTGAATAAGTTGCAGACAATTTCTATTGTAAGATACTTTTGTGACTCAGGGTGTACTTTCATTTGCAAGTATGCGTCTAAGATATCTATGACCGAAAATACCTTTCCATCAGTTAATTTTGAAGTCAAGTCATCAAAGGTTGGTTAGAGGTGTTTGGTTTCCGGAACGATGTTTGGATTCAAGGTTGTACGGAAATCGCCACAGATCCTGACTCTACCTCCGCCCTTGTCTACGTTCGCTGTTGGGGTACTCCATTCTATCGGTGTTTCGGAAGGGTCCACTGCTTCCAAAACTCCCTCCTGTACCAATCACTGTAATTCTCGCTCCACTGCCTCCCTTAAGGGGAATGGAACTCGTCGTGCCCCGTAAGGTACAGGTTTTGTTCCACTTTTTAGATGTATAACTTCATTAGAGTCATATATCGTTCCTAGCTCATCACGAAAGAGTTAGGAAAACTGCTGGGTTAATGCTTCAACTTCTTTTTGTAACTCTTTTCTATAATTTTCTTCATTCTTACCTGTCTCTTTACTATTTGTCTTTCCATTGTCAATACGCCTAACCCTTACTTCCCAAGGCAAATTAAGATTGAAAACTACACTCCACGGCAACCCAAATAATGGAAAATCATCTTCTATGTAGTAATACAATAAATTGGCAATCGCTTAGTACGATTACGTAAAGTAACGTCCACAAAAGCCTTACCCATGACTTCTTGTTTATTTTTCCCATGGCCAGTAATGACATCAGACGTCTTTTTGAGAGATCGTCACTTGAATTGATCTTATCCCAAAGAGACAAACTTATAGCACTTACCCGAGCCCCGGAATCAAACTCCATTCTAACATTATACCCGTTCAATTCTACATCTATTGTAGCTCTGGGAACCTTACTCTTGACTGACCTAATTTGTGTTCCGCTAACATCAATATCAGAACTACACTCATCATCGTAAGATTGATCACGAGAATCTTCTACTTTTCTCAAATTACCGTCCGTTCTCTTGAAAAAAATATTTTTACTTTTGCACATTCTTGCGAAGTGGCCTCTCTTTGAACATTTCTTGCACACAGCAGAAACAGCAGGACACCTATCTTTACTAGGGTCATGTGTAAACCCACATCTATACCACCTATTGAAACCAGTAGATTTCTGTACCTCTGGTTTCCTCTTTTTCTTAATGTCACTAACTTTGAAAATCTCATTTTTATACGAATGTTTGGAAACTTCTTCTCTTGCGCGTTCCATAGATTGAGCTAACTCTAGTACTACTGTTGACTTACACGCTCACCTCGGCTATTAACTCCCTCGGGCCATCTTTGTCTGACTTCAACTTCAAATTCTGGACAGTTGCTTCCTACTGCAAACCTATCTCGTACTCTTTCATCTAAGCTATCTCCATATTTACTACTTCTAGCTAAAGACTTCAATCTGTTATAAAACAAAATACATGTCTCACCATCTTTTCTTATTGCTCTTTCAAACTCAAACCTCGTTGCAAAAAGGGTCCTTGTAGGCTTGGACAACCGGTTGGCTTCCTCTTTGACTTCGTCGTAGGTTCACTTCTCCCAGGCCCTTGGATACATCTGGTCCGACAGTGCCCTGAGGTGCTCCTCTCCGATATTTGCCAATATAAGATCTCGCCGAGCCGCTTGTTCTTCTGTGTTAGCACCACCCAGTCCCTTAACTCTGCAGGTCAACTCAAAACGAGTAATGTAGTCTTCCCACAATTGTTCACTATTATACTCTTTAAATGAAAATCTGCTTATTCTATTTTGTATGCAAGACATGTTACTACTGTCAATTACACTCTTATACTGAGACAGGTCTGTTCTCCTAGGCATTTTCTCGTCGCCAATATAGAATAATTAATTATTAAAACTCATTTTAAGTAAACTCAATCAAAACGATTCATTCACAAAACAAAACAATAATGTAAACAAACCAAATAGCAGATGATTCATAGCTTTACAACTCAGCTGATAACAATAATCCTACAAAATGATATGCAATATGTTACCATTCATGTCAGCCTAAGGGGAGAAATATTGCGTTAAAAATAAAATTGATCATTTTTTCATTAACTGCACTCATTAATTACAAGAATGCATTTAGTGAAAGTTGAGTGCAAAAGGTATCTGTATAATTAAGTATACCCCAAGTAAACTTGTAAAATTTAATACTGTAGTATAGCACATCCCAAACTAGTTGTAATGCCATGTAAGTAGTGATATTTATAAATACAAACGTTAGTTGTGAAAGGTTAAATTACCTGTGTCCGCCGGTTGATCCTGTACAATCCTATTGCAGGATATGCATTTCGCCAAGGTTAATCGCCATCATCAGTCCTTAATATAAGATCTTGAACTTCCCCATTTGCGTCTTAAAGTATTTAGGTGCGTCTTAAAGTTTTGAAAACACGTACACGAATTTTACACATGACGAAACACATAAATAGATGGTAGGCCTACTTTTCATTTTTACTGCGGACATATAGACGTGCGTCGGTATTGAATATTATATACCTGAATTGAAGGATTTTACTTCCAAGACGAGACATTCGTTTGTCGACTGCCAAAAAGTTAACTACGTCTTACACTCTCAAACGCTTACAATACGTCTACGAGACCTACACGCTGGTACGATTACCGGCGATGTTTCTCGCTACATAATACTCGCTCAATAATGTTTTATACATGAAAATGAATCTTTAGAGTCTCATCTTTCTAGTAGTATAAGATTCATTGCGATTTAAAACTGTTTTCATAATGAAATAATAGAAAATCACGACCCATGTCGTTTTGGTCGATAATCGACCAACGCCACTGAGGACTCACGATTTAGTGGTCGATAATTGACCAACGCCACTGAGGACTCACGTTTTAGTGGTCGATAATTGACCAACGCCACTGAGGACTCACGTTTTAGTGGTCGATAATCGACCAACGCCACTGAGGACTCACGATTTAGTGGTCGATAATTGACCAACGCCACTGAGGACTCACGTTTTAGTGGTCGATAATTGACCAACGCCACTGAGGACTCACGTTTTAGTGGTTGATAATTGACACCTTTATACTTATTGAAAATTAACTATTCTTGTGTTGGTACCAAAAAAAAAGTACACAAGAACTATCATTTTCCACACTAACCACTTCAAGTTGTGCTTGTTAGCTTGTTACTTCTTAAAATTATTTTTAAGCTGTCCCATTGTTTTGGTTTACTGTATCTTGTTTTATAAATTATACTTTACTTAATGTTTACAGATGGAGAATATTCTACTAGATATTGCTATAGAAGTAGCCAAATACCTTACGCCTCGTGATATATCTTCCTGTTGTGCAGTATCTCATCACTGGCGAGAAGTATTCGGTAACAATGCGGTAATTATCCTCAGTTTATTAGGATAATTTAAGCTAAATGTATGAACCAAAAGCAAGTGCAACACTAATTGTACCCCTTCAATTAACTGTTACTCTGATGGTTTAGGCTACTGATTAAAAGTTAAGTGAATGAATTTAATAAGAAGCTAAAAGGATTATCCTAGTAATTAAATGGGGGGGGGGGGGGTACATTCCGTTCCCGTACTAGAGGCGTGTTGAGCCCGGTACATTCCGTTCCGGCACTAGAGGCGTGTTGAGCCCGGTGCAGCTGGTTGGCGTGTTGAGCCCCAGCATCCGTTTTAATTCAGTGTAAGTCCCCGGTGGCCAATGGAGCTGCCTCCTGGGACCATGAATCCGTCTGGAGGGGGATGAAGAGGCCCACCTCCACTATTTAAGAAGAGTGCCGTCTAGGAGAGATGGCAGTTGACATCCGTCAGCGTTACTGGTGACATCGCGAGGAGCTGCTGCGCTTGACAGTGATCCACCCAGCACTTCTCGGGCAGTCCGCATCCGACAGTGGGACAGGTGACATCGTAAGGAGCTGCTGCGTTTGGGCTCTGGTTGGTGAGCCGCCCAGCACCTCTGGAGACAGGAGTCGACGTCTGACAGCGAGACTGGTGGCATCGTGTGGAGCTGCTGCGTTTGGACTCTGGTTGGTGAGTCGCCTAGCACTTCCCGAGACGGAGCCAGTTAGAGGACTGCAGGAGCTGAGAGAAGAGGACTGCAGGAACCGAAATGAGAGGACTGCAGGAGCCGAGAGAAGGAGAGGACTGCCGGAGCTGAGAGAAGAGGACTGCAGGATCCGAGGAGAGGACTGCAGGAGCCGAGAGAAGGAGAGGACTGCAGGAGCCGAGAGGGGAGGAGTGCAGGAGCCGAGAGATAAGGTCTGCAGGAGCCAAGAGGAGAAGTCTGTAGAGCCGTGCTGCTGGGACTTCTGAGAGCCGTCGAGCAAGTGGGAGAAGCCACAGACTGGGCTTCGTAGAAAGAAGAGATTTGTATATATTGTCTATAGTTTTTTTAGTGTAAATAGTTGTAAAAATAATCCTTAAATACTAAATGTGTCATAATCCATTTAAGTGTTCAGTCGATCTGAGTCCTGAAAACCCCGAAAAGGTCTGATAGCTGTACAAAGGTAAAAACCTGAGAAAGTACGTTACAAACTACATAAATATATTGACCTTAACTATGATTTTTTACTAAGCTTACGGTGCATGATTAAAATGCTTAAACAGGAACGCATGTATTTGCCGATCGGCAGTCGAAAAACCACTGTTTAGCCTGGCATCTGACCATCAACAGCAGAATTCTGTTACTGCGTATGATAATAATAACAATAAAAACGAGAAAGTAGATAGCAAATCACATCCACTGTTTCAATAGCTTTAAAATGAGATATTTTGCAACTTTTATCCTAATAAACAATGCCGTATGATTCAACCATTAACATTGCCGTTATATCATTGCCTTTATATCTACATAAAGTCAATGGTTATAGGCAGAAAATCCAATATGGCCGGCTATCCTGCCGACTCTTAAGCAGTTATCACAAAGATATACAGGGAGTTTTAAAAGAATCACCAGGTTTTAAAACATTTTATTGACGTTAATGTTAAACAAATACGGATATAAAATATATCAACAGAATGGAGAACACTTAAATTTTTCATAGATACCCCTACAAGTGCTCAATGTGCCATCCATTAGCTGTGGAGAAAGTTTCCAATCTATGCTGTAAATTGTCCCATACACCGGCTAGGATCGCAGGGTTGGTTGATTCTTCGGCATTGCGAATCCTTCCACGGAGCTCTTGAAGCGTTTGAGGCATATGCGGTACATAAACTTTGTCTTTTACATAGCCCCATAGAAAAAAAAAACACACACCTTAAGATCAGGAGATCTAGGGGGTCATTTGAGAAGGGCCAAGTCAATTATCGTTGAAAGGTTTTTTTTTTTACGAAATAATCATTTTGAAGATGATGCAAACACGTCCAAGAAAAACCAAGACTGATTATTGAACAGCTGATTATAAAACTTGGAAACATGCTTTTTAAGCACATGTTTCAAATATTTATGTGGGACAAGAATTGGATAAGGTACATGCCATTAAAACCTGATGATTCTTTTATAAACGCCCTGTATTTTTCTTATTCTATATCTCAGTAAGTTATATTTTAGAGTAGGTAAAAAGTGTGATAAGCATATCGGGATTAACAAAAATATGAGATAATAATACTAAAATTTTAGTAGTAGGTATTGAGGTTCGTTGTTGAAGTTCATTATTCAATATTATGTATGCTAACTCTTGATTTATTCTAGTTCTTAATAATTAGATCTAAAACTTTAAACAGTCTCCGAAAATATTCTTTCTCTTTTTGGTGGTTCATGCAAAATATTTTCACTCAACTTTTATGTAAATTGTTTTCATTAAGCTTTCAAACTGTTAGGCTGTGCTGGCAAATATTGAATGAATGTGATCACATGCAAAATAACTTGTCAGTTGCCAAAGAAAAAATAAAACTTTTATGTATACAATCCTCTTAAGTAGACAGAAAATTAAACAACTCTAGGAGGGGGTACCCAACTAAAAAATTAGCCTAATTACTAATTAGCATAAAGTGGCAGAAAAGTAACGTTGTCATTCTCTGGATTAAATTACTGACAACACACAAAAACTACTGATAGCATCCACAAATATGAGGAATGACCTTTCTCAGTGATTTGTTGGAATGATACCCCAAAATATTCCTTGTGCCAAACCATAGACTAACCAACACAAGTATACTTCTCCATCCCCTTTGCTTTCTCCATCAAAGCTAAACCCATGGCACAGATTCATGTAAAAAACCCTACAACAAAACCTAGTATCACCACTGATAGCTTAAGTAATATAGAGTGTACACAGTTTTTCTATACTGTCACAAGACATTCCTGCATGCAATACACTGTAAGAGGTCTAGTGTAGATATAAAGTCAATGATGCAATGCACCTAAGAAAGAAGTAGCCTATAGTAATCTCGGGAATGTAAATAGTAACTACAAAATAGGGTATAAATGTCAAACAAGCCATAAAGTTGATAAATCTTGGGAAAAACTGGTGATTCTAGCAGACAGTCATGGCAAACACTTAAGCAATTTAATTGAACAAAGAGTTCCCTTGAATGTTTGCTTTTTGTTAGGTTAGGAGCTAAATTTAGCCAGGTGACGGAGGAAATTAGGGAACTTTCCAAAGATTTGGACGAACAAGATTGCCTCATGGTTATAGCCGGAACTAACAATATGGAGACAACGGGTATCAGTCGGCTTATTAATGATATTCAAAGCCTTATTAGTAAAACAGAAGATACAAATCTTATTTTAGCAAGCTTACCAATAAGACATGATACACCGAACTTGGACCTAAAGATAAGGAGAGTCAATGTGGAAATTGAAAACATAGTAGCAAAGAAAAACCACGTAAAACTGCTCCCTTTACATATACTTCTTCGGCACTATTTTACAACTCACAGCCTACATTTTAACAAGAGAGGGAAAACAGACAGCTAAAACTGTGGCTCATCTTCGCGTTGAAAAAGACTCTTCTTCTAATGGTACATAAATTTTTTCCACCGATACTGCCATCAATGTTGTAGAATCCGACATGTATGACACAATTTAGCAGCTAAAGGGTAAATCATCCTTAACTTTCGCTCATTGTATATCTTCGGATTTTAACGACCCTAAAAATATGTCTTCTATAGTGGCTGTTGTTTTTAGCCACAATGTCGGTAGACCCTGTAATACGGACTTTGTTGATGATAACATCACTTGTCAGAGAGTAAAAATAGAGCGTACGTGTATGGTCTTGTCACGAAGCCTATTAAAAAAACATCTACTGAGGTTTATGACAATGCTTTTACACAACTCACTTCTGATTAAAAAAGGGGTTTAAAACACTAGTAAGTTCTCCTATGAGGTGTACTAGGGATGGAATTCTTCCTGAACACTTTGCAAAAATGTAACAGATTTTCAAACCAAAACTAAGGCTACCGTTTACATCATATTGTATAATGAAGTGTCTACTAAAGTGATAAGAGGCGGACTTAGTCTCGAACTTATGAACAGACTCACAGAACTCGTCACAGAACATAACACCAAATTAAAAGTGCAAAACCCAACAGACCATCCCTTAGCGCAATCTGCGGGTACCTCCATCTCCCCTTCACTCCTGGATGCAGACGGATGAAGTCATGGCTATTGACCTCCTACAATTCATCTGCGGCGACCTCATTTACACCAATCACCTGTACTGCGACATCCCCGCTATGGGAAAAAAAACTATTCCAGTGGCAGCGAGGGACACACACCATATGGAACGTTTGTCAGGTTTTTCAACTCATGCTTTGCCTTCAATAAATTTAGCAGTTCAATGTAATTCAGTAGCAAATAATGTAACCGATGGTAAATCCACTTCAACTGAGGTTAATGTACCTTTTTTAGAAAAAGTTGTAAAACCCGTAGTAAATGTAAGTTGAAACAATGTAGTAAAAACAATAACGATAATCCTTTAGATAATGCTTGTTTTAAAGATAAACAAAAATTGGCTGATTAAAATGTTTGGTTGATGCATTCTAACATACAGGGTGGTATAACATTAAAAATTTATATGTTAATCTTTTTTGAAAATACAAACATTGATAATGTGTACTTATAACGTTATTTCCAAGATAAATTATTTTTCATAATGTGAAATTGGCCTAAAGAGGAGACCCAAAATAAAAATTCATCATTGTAAAAAAAAATCATGGTTTATTTAAAACAAAACAGTTTCTTCTAAACACTTTCTACAACACCTTTAAGAACTCGAAATCAAACTGAAATTTATTTACTTCCATTAGTTTTTTTGGAATATCAAAAATCTATCAAATTTAAAACATTCCGCTAATATTTTTATAGGGCATTTTAAACAATTAATTCCTGGTAATCACTTGAGCCCTGTGAACAAACAAACCCTTTCCTAGCTT